CAGAGAATTATTCACGCGTATCTAAAAGACGTTCTAAAGACGTTATAACGACATTATTTTTATTTTTTAAGACTTTTTAATTTTGTGCTATAGGACTGTAAATCAATGCGAAGTAATGCGGCGTAATGCGAATACGACGTAATACGAAGTAATGCGTAAGTAATTCCAGAAAAAATGTACATGTATTGCGACAGTGAGACACCCCTCGATTTACACTGTCATTCACAGTCACGCGATAATCAAGCTTTACATCCTTCTAATGATATCGCATAGAATTCACAAAAAAGCTTCCTCATAAAGGTGTTTCCCTTATCAACGCGTTGATCCCTTGTTGATACGTTTCCTGATATTTTTCCTCTAATAAAGCGCCTTAATTCCAGAACATTGTGATATAAGACCCCGTAAAGATTTTATCCGAGAAAATTTCTCGCCGCAGGAGGGCGTAAGAGGGGGGAGGGGGGAGAGGAGTAACGTTTTTTAGCGGATAAAGTTTCGCGCACGTCTCTATGCATGCAACTCGCGCTAAAGTATTGTTACGTAACAACGCAAGCTGCAAACGACGATGACACGTACTTTTATTACACGCACGTGTGCGACACGTTTGGACAAGTGGTGCCTGGTCTCTAATAAGACGCTGTTCGAGAAGAGAGACGTTTACGTGCAGCTGGTCCCCGACAACGCTCGCGTCGCATGAGACCGCGGTGTATTTGTATATGTGTGTGTTTCGCGATGCACATGCTGTATTATTACACTGTCGTGTGTCGTAAATTCGCGGTCTCACGGTCGGATGCGGTCTCTCAGGGACGCTAAATTCTCTCCTTTACGCTAATTACGCTAACATAACTGATCTCGGACGGAATCATTTCGACTGCATTATTACAATCGCGTATGTTAGATTAGAAACTAACAATCTTACACAATCGATCTCGAGTAAATAAGAATCTTATTTCGTTAAATTAAAAAGAGAACATTCGATTCGAACAATTGTTCAATCGATACATTTTTCGCGTATTGCGTCGAATGGCTCTATACGACTATTTAATTAAGGATCAAAGAGTATGTACTTATCGTACGAGAATGTATGAAGATGATTACATAAGTTCTTAATTTTCATTCATTGAAAAGACTGGTCATTGCGAATCTATTTTCGTCGAAGTTAATGACACATAATTCTGGTAGACGTTAATATACGGATTCGTGAATCTCAAATAACTACCAGAGAAAAATGCGAATAATCAGAATAATCGTGCTGTATATTACAAATGTAAAAAACGATGTAAAAGAAAATGTGCTGATCCAATATTAAAACAAGTCGTTTCCATAATATAATATGTTTCCATATATCAAATAGATATTATTTATAAAAAATATCCATTTGATTATTTAAAGGAAACCAAAGTCATAACAAAAAAAATAAATAAGAGATAAATAAATAAGATAAGTAAAATAACGAGAAAATATTGTTAGAGAATAATGAGGAAACTACTTTTTTACATTCTTTTAAATATTCTCGAAACACACATGTATCTTTTGACGGTGAAAGTACCTAGATCTCAATTTCAAAGCAATATATTTTTTTTTCCGTCTGTGTTCGCAATTTATCATTTCCACTTTCTTCCACATGGCAGCGAATAAAGCGGAGGAATGAGTGAGATAGTGTGACAGCAATATTCATACTGGATACAGTTCACAACACAGTATGGAGAAACAAGTAGGAAATAAATGATAACAATGTGCTTGTATGCGCGTTGCTTCGAGTGTATGAGATAACTCGAGCTGGATTGTAAAATTTGCACGATATTCGCTACGTACGGAACGGATGCACATAAGTAAAAGATAATTGGTTTGTCAATATCTCTCGTTTAATTAATGAAAGAATAAGTTAATAATATTTTAATAAATTTAATAAATTAATAATTTGAAAATTGAAATGAACAAAAAAATAATTATTAAATATTATATTGTTGTATTAATTTTAATAATTAAAGGTACATAAAAGGAAATAATTTTTGAAATTATTAAAAAAAGAATAAAATATCTCAAGATAAAAAAAATTGAAAAATTAAAGGCATTCATAAATGAAAAGGAAGAAAATATCCAATTTTAAGTAAAGAAATATAATTTAAAAAAGTTAATATATTATTAAAATATAAAATAAAAATTTT